TTACTCCTTGTTCCTGTTTTTCGCACCCCCCCCCCCCCATCCATATAGTAAACAAGCATTTAACCCTTCCAGTGCAGGCACTGGGGCAAAATGGCAATGGTATTTATTCTGCTGCCTGTAGTTGAGCTTTAGGGCCCAGTCACATCATGTTCAGTGCGTTCAGGCATGGTCCGAGCCTCGAACGCACTGGATCACATAGATCAAGCCAGGCCACGTTCTGAGGCGGAAGGGGTGACGGTGCCATTCATGTCAATGGCACCGCAGGCAGGAGGATAAGTTCCATCCTGTCCTGTCAAAGTTAAATCTATTTGGTTGTGAAGGCTTCTTGGGCTTTTTAGCATCAGGCAACTGTTTCCCAGATTTGCAATGCTACCACCTGGCCTTTTGTTCACACATTCTCTAAGTGTTACCAGGTGGATATTTAGGTTTCATCTGATGCCAACTTTGAGCATAAGGTCCTTCAGACAGCTCTTAGAGCTACAAGCAACCTCAAGTTCTAGTGTCTCTTAACAACTTCCCCACAACACTAACAATGTTTTCCTTTTTTTTTGCACACGTTAAAATCTGCATTTCAGGTTTGAAAATTTCTTAAAACCCCAGAACACAATGGGGGGAATTTATCAAAACTGGAGGAGATATACAATATATTAAAGCAATATATTAAAGTACTGTATGTTGTTAAGTTTAGATATATTTGATCTTAGGTGCAGCGGTCTCCAGTAGGGATGATGTCATCAGGAAATGTTGTAAATAAAACTGTGGTGCCTAAAAACTCTTTGGCTACTGTACCCTGTACTCTACTGTACTACTGTACTCTTTGAGTACTGTACATAATGAATATCATCATTAGATATTTAGAATAGAGTGTTCTAACTGATATGGCAATAACATGCTAAAGAATGAACAGCCATTCAAATAGTTCATACATGGAAATAGCTTTAGACAGCCAGTTATGGCATTATGATTGTTCCCTACCATAGCCTCCCAACTCCTGTAAGGAATCCTAGCAATAAAAGCCCACAGAGACTAACATGGCCTTTCTGAAAATGTTACCAGTGCTATACCTCTTTTGGAAAACATGAGTTAGGCGTGGATTTACTAAAGGCAAATAGGCTGTTCACTTTGCAAGGGAATTTGCATATTACAGGGGAAGTTTCTTTTAGCTCTTCTATGTGGTAAAATGTCACTTAACAAAGAATACCCAATCACGTGCAAGGAAAATAATAAAAAAAAGTATTTTTGCTTGCACGTGATTGGATGATGGAAGTCAACAGAGCTTCACCTCATTCACTAAACTAAGCGGAGACTTCCCCTGCAAAGTGCAAATTTCCTAGCAAAGTGAAAAATATATTTGCCTTTAGTAAATCAACCCGTATAAGTCTAATATACAGTATCAGTGAGTTCTTACTATGAGACATGAGCAGCAGCCACAAATTTGTTTCGTTTCGGATTTTGCTTTATTTCGTTTTTCAGAATTCGGGTCCGAAAGTCAATCCGTTTCGGAATTCGGATTCGGACCAAATTCATTAACGGTAATCCGTACAAAATTTTGTTTCGTTCGTTCGATGCAGCACAGTGGCATTTAAGAGGAAAAAAACTTTTTTTGTTCTCAAATGTCACTTTGCTGCAACGAAATTTCGTCCAAAAAACGAAAAGTTCGTCCAAAAAAAAAAAAACGAATCGGAAATTCAGATTCGTTTGCATTCGTTATATCTGTAATTGGAAATTCGGATACATACGAATCTCTAAATTTCCGAAATTTTGTCCGAATTTCGATTCGGAACAAAACGGTCGCACATGTCTACTTACTAAGCACTGGGTTTGTTTCCCCACAGCCACCAATAATAACTTTTCCCTCTGAATTAGAGGTACAGCACCCCATGCAGACATTCTGAAGGGACAAATCACCTCTATTTGAGTGGGAATTGTATTATAAGGAAATGGAACCTCAATGCATTAATGATCCCATGGAAGGTAAAACGGATAACACATTTACAGTCAAAAATTAAAGAATTTGTACATAACCCTTAAATTGTTAACTGAATTCTAAACATTTTTTCTCTAAAGAGAACAAAGTTTCTAGTTTAAAGGAAAGCAAACACAAGACAAGATTCGGTTGAGGAGTAGAAATGGAACCAAACCACGCATAAAGACATGCACACATAAAAACACATGTATATGGCACTTTTGTACTGATCTTATATAAGGTGAATGCAGGCTGCCTAATCCCTGAGTGTTCATTCACCACATAATGAAGAATAACCACTAAAGTGGTAGTATAAAAATGTGGAGTCATGATGTAGGAGTTTATAAGCTATCCGTTAAATCAGCGTTTTGAAGGAAATGTTGGGGATAGAAAATTGAATTCTTGATGATGGATAATGTGGATTGTAGGTACTCTACCCTGTGGATTGGTTTGGGACTTTTCACTGGTGAGCTGCAGGCTTTTCTAGACATCACAGGACTACGAGGAGGCTTACCAACAACTACATGGTCATTTCTACAAACACTCTGGAAGAACCACAAGAAAGGAGTCAGTTTACAAAAGAACATCACTTTTGAAACTTATGGAAACCCATGCAATCTAAAGTTTTAAGAACTGAGGTCTGCCAATCCTTGCACCAGCATCATGCAAAAACACCAAACACCAGATATGAGCGTGAAAACTTTACTTAATAGCAAGTTTTATGACAATGGTATGGCTACAAAAATGCATTAAACTTATGCAGGCAAAGAACCAAAGCAGGGTGTCAGTAAAGATCTCATCACCTAAAATGCTTATATGCAGCTTTACAAAAACTTCAGCTTTGCATCTAGCCAAACATTTCTTACAATATTTAACATTCACACAAAGGTTACCCATAAAAATGGCGATTATGGCATGCATGCTGTGGGTCACAGAACAAAACATGTCCAGTCACAAAGCTATAAAGTACATCCAGTCAGGGGATGAATGCCAATATTTTCTTCCATGGTATGTATGGTACATACAGTAGGTGTTCTGCTATAACCTGATCATTCTAAATACTGCACGGGTTAAAGGCCTTTGTAAACTACCAAGAACGTTCCTTTAGATAAACAGAGTTTGTCAGTTGTTATTACTAGAGTGGAGAATACCAGCTGCGGGACAGCATGCTTCCCGAGCTGATACCCATAAAGCGCAGTGTTATTTTGTGAGCCAGCCAAATACTCTGACATTTAGAATGACTTCCAGGACATAGTGATACTAGAACTAGTACATTTATTTGCAGGAGGGGCCCCTTCTTTATAGCTCTACATTTATCCAATATCTTCCAGAAATTACAAAGGACTGGAAATACCAGAAGATTGTTCTCTGCGGCAAGGATTTCATTTTTTGGTGATCACAGATGTCCTTAGCTATGTGGGAACTGCACAGGACACCATACTGTGGTGGCAACCACTAATGGGTACATATGAAATATGCTTGTAGCAATTGCCTCTGATCTTTAACAGTGGCTTATGTTCTATCCTTCTTTTCATACTCTCTCTGCTTTCTATAAGCTGCCACATTACGCAGGAAGCTTGTGCCTTCTGTAATGTGAGCATGAAAGGATATAAGAGGTCCATGCGCAAGGTGGCCTTTCCTGAAGTTAGCTTTACTGGTAATGCTTACCAGGAGGGTGGGCATGATTCATTTTTTCAACTCGGGAAGCGCTATTCTAAACGTTTGGACAGGCTGCTAAATAGCCCAAGGACTGCCACGTTAGTGTTATTACTTAAATATTTTAGGTGATTATATTCAACTACTTTTTAGAGTAAACCTGTTACACAGAGATAGAGACAACAGGGTTATTCACAAAAGGGTGAAGAGTTTGCAGAAGGCAGGAGAAGTGAACAATCTAGGACAACATAGCTGATTTGGAAAGATTCTTCAATTCAGCTCACTTTCCAGTTCAGCTATGTTGTCCTAGATTGTTCACTTCTCCTGCCTTCTCCAAACTCTTCACCCTTTTGTGAATACCTCTGAAACTACCATGTAACGGTGCTATTAATACATGTATTGGTATCAGGTAAAAGATGTTGTGGCACAGGTAAAAGATGTAAATCTACAAAATGTCTTTCAAACATGCGAGTATAGAAATATGGGAGGTGCCATTGTTGACTTGGTTTTTAATTGGTACGGGCTCTATGTTGTGTTTTGATACTGGCTTCACTACCTAGAGATCCGAAAAAAAATGTACATTAAAGAAGTTCAGACTATGCTGGCAGCAGAGTTGTTCCAGATCGCTCACTACGTAGAAAAGCCAGAATCAGGGAGAGAGTCCCATACATGCACATATGAAAATGTCAGCAATAGCAAATCCTATTTCTTTATCAATCACTAAGGGACAGGAATCAGTTATCCTGATACAATTGGGTTATACTGTCATCTGCAGGAGGATTTTGACAATGACAACATAAAAGCCATTGGCCAGCCATGTATAAAAGCTTCCACTCCCAGAATGCTTCAGTTTTTTGCTACTGTCCTTTTTTTGCTACAGCCTTTTTCCAGTCACGGCATGCTTTAAAAGTATGCAAAATTGCGAGGCACCACAGTCTAAAATGTAAAAACGACAATGTAAACATGCGCCCCCCCCCTCCTAAATATACCAGGCCCTTATCTCAGATGGGGGTCTGGTACAGATTTTAAAGGAGGACCCCATGCAAAAAAGTGGGGTATCCTTTCACATCAGAGTCCTTCCCTTCCACATCAAATACCCCCTACACATCAGAAGCACCATTCACATTAGTCTGATGGATCCCACCCTCCCTGGATTAGTGTAATTTGTTTCCATGGTGTTGGTGGCCTGCCTGCAACATGGAAAGGCATGACATGCAAACATTTTCATTTACAAAGGTTTTATTGAAGTTTTCCAAAAGTGAATAAGTACAAGTTACAAAGGAGAGACATGCAAACATTTTAAGGCACCCCTGAGGAAGCCAGAAGACACCGTGGCTGAGAAAGGCTGTCCGAGAAAGATGGGCGTCTTTCTCTATTGAGAAAGTTTTCTCCATTTTTTTTACTAGCCACTTTATGGTGTTAGATAATCAAGACCTTATCTGCATGCTGCTGAGCTGGGCTCCTTATACAGCTATCCTGATTGGTTAATCCTGGGAGGATGTTCCTCGGACCCCCCGGACAAAAGATTGCAGGGCTTGCGTGAGATGTAATGGCTTCTACCAGTGGCACCTCTCAGACCTTCAGGTACTGTATTAGCCACTGAGCACCTTTCACTTTCCAGGTCCAGAGCCCTGGCACAGCCTCTGGTGTGATCCAGTCTATGAAGACTCTTCATGATTATGCTAATTGGGCTGGGCTTCAGGGGCTACTACAGTAAATGGTAATGTTAAATGCCACCATTGCTCCCCTGTCCCATTGGCTTCCATGGAATGGGTTAGTACCAGGGACATGCGGTCAGGGGAGGCAGAGCCTCACCTAGAATTATGGAGGAAAAAGCTGTCAGCTTCAAGTCTGAAGCTGACAGCTTTTTCTCCATTCAGATCGGCATCTAACAGGTTACAGAGCATGAAAATCCTCTCCGCTGTGTAACCTGTCATGGATGAAGCTTTGCCTGATAATTACAGGCAGCGCTGCATCCAGCTTTTGACAGGTAGTTAGTGAGGGACAGGGCTCCTCCCTTCCTCCTTCACACTAGCTTGGGGGTAGGTTGAGGGGGGCTTCGGCCAGCGGGGGCAGGGCGGGGAATGCCTCATCCGGAATATGAGGTACCGCACGTCACTGGTTAGTACGCTGAGGAGTTAAATACCGCATCATTAGCTTAAAAATGTTTGTATGCGCAAACCCTGCTCTGTTCCCGCATTTTTTTCTTCAGTGTTAGGTAGCCTTTTCTTGCCATTGCTTCTATCTGCAAGAGGTGCAGTTTATACTTCGGTTAGTCCTTGCTGCTTCGTGCAGTGAACTGGTCACCTCCAGCCATTAACCTCTCTTGCTTAAGCAGTTGATTGTGAGTAACCCAAGGTTTTACCTGGTGTTTTGTATGAGGTTGTTTCTGTTAAATTGGTACAATTTGTTGGATTCTAAGCAGATAGGGAGCAGTCTCGTGCCAGCTTACGATCAACTAACAGTTCTGGGACAGCCTGCAATGTCCCTCTGGGACAATGACACATGATTGGCTGGATTGTTGTCCCCTGCTTGAGTCAACTCACTCCAAGGAGTCTGTCTTAGCTCTGTCAGGTGTGACCCCCTCCTTTGGCCTATCCAGGGGAGGATGCAGATTTTATGGGCCTGCAACACTTGCAACAATGATTTCTGACTTTGCACGCAGATGATGCAAGTGTAGTTATATGCTTTCTCTTCCAGAATCTTTGTCTGACATTCCTGCAGCTCTATAGCCTCCGAGCCTTCCGCTGCATATGTATTGTCCGAAGAAGGGTCTCGCAGGTCCTTGTTGGATCAGTTTGTTTTTAGGGAGCCTCAGTCAGCTGGAATAGCTCACAGGCTAAAAAATACCATACTGATTTTTATCGATGAATGCCTTGTTTTCTGTGTTGCCCACCTTGCTTTTGGACGTACCTATTGTATAAGAAAAACGGAATCCTGTGCTCCTGTGAACCCCTTATTGAATAATAAAGAAAACAGGTTTTTGTTTTTACTGTAAACTCTGTTTCTAGAAGTATATTAAGGGACACAGGTCCCACCTCTAGATGTTTGTGATTGACTCCTAGGTATAGCTTTTCTACAAAACAGAAGCATCCTGGGAGTGGGAGGGGTTATACCTAGCTTTTTTGTTTGCCAGTGCAAATCCTCTTGTAGGCGGCAGACCAACTGAATCCTGTGCCCCTTAATAAGCTTCTGGAAGTGGATTTTAGAGTAAGGACAAAAAATATTTTATTTCTGCTCTCTAAAATGTATACATTATAAAACATATGAATAAAGTGGATGTATGTTTCCATTTATTTTAAGTTACTTAAAGAAATGCAATATATCATTCTTTCCTTTATTGGTGAAAGTGAAAATAACTATTAGTAGTTGTTGGATTTCAGCGAGTAACTGACTTTATGGATATCTCTCCATTCTTTATAAAGGGACATATAACAGCATCTGATATACATGAATGCAAAACATTTTCCAGGTCTTGGAAATAATATCTCAATATCTGTCTTTTCACCATGGTAAACATTCATGCAGGCTTGTATAATCATATGTCTTTTAGTTCACAATGGACAGACTGTCTAAGAAATGCTGTAAATGTGATCATGTGTTATGGACTATAGTCATAGTAACTAGCTTTGTGGCATACATTAAAATCCCAGGACAATAACATTATAAGAATAGTTTAGACAAAATGGAAATGCTTTTGCTGGCCTAACAGGCTACTAATGAATATGGGCATTTGACACACATACCAGAAGCAGCTTGAGCAGAGTTGGCTTCTTATTGATTACGCCAAGGGGGGTTGTATTCTGCTGGGACATATCTTCCTTCATGGTCAGCAAGTTTTTAATTACTTCTCCGTTAAACCTATTCATTGGAGGGAATTTACTCAAACTGGAGCAGAGAGAATCTGGAGCAGCAGTGCATAGTAACCAATCAGATTCTACCCTCAGCTTGTTCAGTCAAGCTTTAAAAATGAAAGTAGGAAGCTAATTAGTTGGCATGCACAAAGTTGCTCCAAATTCTGTCTGCTCCAGTCTTAGTAAATTCCACTCATTGTTTGGCCAGTGTGAGATCTAACATGCAGCAGCAGTATGCGCCTACTCTATATAGCAAATATACTGTTTTTTTGTGGGCTAGTCCTGCTGAATTTTTAACTGAGGAATTGTGAAGAATGGAAAAATATCCTATAGGGCTTTTACTGGTAATATGTTAAGATTTGAACGTAGGCAAACATAACTCACGCATTTCTAGTCACAGAATGAATGATAATAGGTAAATGTGCAGTATATACATGTTTGTTACTTGATGAGAACATTATTTCTAAGAAAGTTTGCAATGGTTGAAAATCACTACTATATTGCATGGCATATTTATTAAGTCAGAGCTGATATTTTAAAAAGAATATTAAATACAGTCTATATAATTCTGCAGAACTACTATCTAGTGCAGTGACACTTGAATTATAAGCTATAGACCTGCCTATAGGTTATAGTGTAAATAAGGAAAAGACATCTCAGTGCTATCCAGGATAAGATTAATTTTTATCTGATACAACAAAGGATTATAATAATCACTAAAATTAATTTTGCATTGGATTTGTGCAAACTAGAGAAAATACATGCATGGCATTGGCTACAAAAGGTCATCCAGTATGCCAGAAAATGTATGTGGTTTGAGAAGCCAAAGTCAATGGGGGTCATTCATTTATAAGGTAGCTGGCTGAACCTCTAAAGGAACTAATTAGCTGTAAAATATCTCCAAAGGACCTGATGTCTGGAGAATCACTCACAACAATATTTAAAAGTATTTGAATAATATTTCAGTAATGTAAACAAACATGGTCTATTAGATAATGATCAAATATGGTGACTTGCGTCAGAGTGATCTAGATTATGGTTACAAAACTTACATCTCAAATATCAATAACAGAGCAAATGCTTGAAATTGCAGTTAAGTCCATAGTGGATGTATTGTGGTTATCATCTTGGGGTCAATCAAACAATGCCACTCAGCCTTAATAGATATAAATGTGGTAACTGATGTTTTATTTTAGGTTCATTTAGATATTATGCATTGTCATTGTTAAATGGATACATCCCATTACTCAGCTATTGGCAACCAGTGAACCTTTGCTCCCTTTCTGTTTGTCGGCTCAGAGTGATAGGTTGCAATATGCCAAGCTGGAGAACAAAGATCAGTTTATTTTTAGTACCCTTGACTTCTGTACCTTCTGACCTTTCTAGATGTTGTACAAGAAATGTAAAAAATCTTATATCAATAGCCATTAAAAGTATATTGAAGTTGCAGCATCAAGATTTTTAAAAAAAGAGTTAGAATGTATTTTTGATGGTATTTACCTGGCACAACAGAATGTACATACACGTAATACAGGTTTTTTTTTAGGAATACTTTTACTGGCATGTGTTTAGTCCACCAATCCTCTGTAGCTGAAGCGCAGTATGTCCATCTATTTTAATGTTGTGGGATGATATAGAAGTATTGGTGAAATCCCTAATAACCTCCATGCATGGTTTTGTTTTGGCAGAGATGCAGTTTGACATTAGTGGTTGACTTAGTACTATACAAATACTTTTTTTTTTCTGAAAGCAGTGTTTGGTTCAAAGCCACAACTGATTTGCTGCATCACAGGGTCTGATTAACACTATCAGGCACCTGTTATTAAAATAAGCCTTATAAATTACATTTATGAAGCATATGTTTTTTTTTGAATTCCTTTTGTTGCCATATAAAGCCCTCCTAAAACCTGCTAATGGAACTCTAGGCCTTTTTTCAGGATTTTATAAGGCAGCGTAACGTAGTTTGATGGGAAGACTATGAAAGGGAAATATGTGTTACTGGATTTGAGGACCAACAATGTCATTGTAAATCTGAGACCGAGACTATGCAGTGTTACTACAGTATAAAAATAGATTAATTTTCTGTACTATTTGTGATGTTTAATTAGTCTGCGCTTGAAAAAGTGTGTGGTCCCTTTTTTAAGATTAAACGTGAACTAAAAAGAAAACAGCTGTCAACATATTAAAGTGTGATGACTGGTTTATTTGTAGTTACTCGTAAGAATCCAGCAACAGCTGAAAGTAATGCTGTACCAGGCAAGGCACAACCGTAACACTTGACAGTTTAGCCTGTGTAACGTGAACACCAACACTGTCCATCTGGTGATATTATTGGGAGTTCAAGAAAGCAGATTTACAAATACTTACAGAATAAATACATGTTAATAGAAATATATCCGGTTTTTCAGACTAATTTCTGAGCCTTTTTGAAGTGCTGGCCACCTACATAGTGAAAGGACAGATTTTGTATCTAGGACAATTGCTATCACTGAAAGTGAGCTTACTTTTAATTGTGTATACTGCAAAATCAGAAATGTAGACACTGTATTGTATGCAGCATCTTCTGGAAAGCACTGCATTCCCAATTATTGTGACAGGGGGAGAGTAATTCTCTATAAGGCCTGGGCTGGCCTAATGTCGAATTTCTCAGCATAGTATAGGGCATATAAGTTTTAGTGTGGCATATAATGTTTGCAGGTTTTAGCCTTGTGGTGGTTGTTGGGAGGGGATGACTTGTAACGGTCAAGACTACTATTTGTAATTTTTTCAGTTTTCTCCATTTTGCCACATTTGAGTAAGATGAAAAAATATTTAATCTCTGCATCGTAAACCTGCAAAATACATTTACAGGTTCATTTCATTGTGCTTATAAAATTTCAGCTGATGAACCATAAGCTCATGATTTATAAAGTGAGCCTCATATCATTTTTTCAGTTGACATCCTATTTGGAATCTTTTGGTTAGCTTAAATATTGCAAGATACAACTATATTTCCTCACACACTCAGTGGCACAATATTACACTTTATGTCATGCAGTTAAGCAAATAAAAAGAGTTAATTTGTGTGTTATATTTTAGTTAGTTTGGCCACTATATATTACAGAGATTAGATGTTTTAAACCACTTTCAATTTTTAAAGTCATAACTGCATGCAGGATTTTGTTACCTTAAACCGCTGAGATGGTGAATCTTGCCTGAATGTGGATTTGGTTAAAGGAGAGAAGTGGGATGCAGAAGACTGAGAAAGTGAAGGTGAAGACGCAAAGGCAGCAGGATGACTGGAAGGAAGCTGGGGAAAGGGTGCAGGATATCTTTGTGTTTCAGAAGAAATGGCGGAGTTCTTAGTTTAGAAAAAATGGCACATCAAACCAAATACCAAATGTGCTAAAATGTATCTCTTGCTAATTTGGAATTGCTTTGCTTTTCAGTAAGCAGTTTATCCTGAATAATTTCTGTATCCAATATTACATGTATGCATGGTATAATATGCTTATCTGGGCTTGGGCACATTTAACCAAGTATTATGACAGGCCAGATTTACCAGACTAAGTAGATCTTAAAATTAAAGGATGAAAAATTCCCAAACGATCAGTACTAATCCACCACAAGTAGCTGCTGGGCTCATAGTCTGGTCTTGAATGGAATGGCAGTATTCACGATTTGTATGTAATATTTGCTGTTTCCCTAACATCCATTTTTGATAGTGATCAGAAGGCCTCTAGCCAAAACTATTTTAAGATCAATGTAAAAGCATACATGTTTCTACAGCATGTGAACATCCAATTATAATGTTCATATGATTTTCTTCTCACTTTGCTTCCCCTATGATTGAATGCTGGATAATTCTTCAATGAAGTCAATTAGGCAGGCAATGAGCATATGTTGGATTACTGAGGGTAGCAAGTATTAGAACTGAAGAGAATCCTCATTGAGTTAGATGTTCACATTGGCTGGACTGTGTCACGTATGATTTTACATTCAGCATGACCTATAACTCTTCAGCTGAAGCCAAATTATAGTTTTTGATGGAGGTCATAATTAAAAGTTTGTGTGCTAGCATTCTTTTTAGCCATGAAAATATTTAAACAAAACACTGCTTTGTACGAACACACAAGACAACATGGAATAGCTTGATGTTAAGTACTGAAATACCTCAGGATTTATACTGGGTGAGTACTCTTCATGACTTATAATAGGCTGTGCTATGCTTTCTACTGAAGGTTTTACATTTTCACTTGCCACATCTTCCTCTATGTAGAGTCTTGGATGCTGCTCTGTTTGAGGCTCACACATATAAAACCCTGAATCTTGGCTTTTCAGCTGACCTCCTTGGATGATGGTCACCAGCTCTTGACAGATCTCTTCTTCCTGTTCATCAAGTGATGCTAGGTTTCTTGGAGATGATGACCCAGTTGTACATTCTGAAACAACAAGGTCGATCCCAGGAGTCTCTGATGAACTTCCGTGGTCAGAAAAAACCTCTGTGGCATCTTTGGCACTTATTGGTCCCTTTGAGTCTGTCTGGTCCAGGCATTTGAACTGCTTTTCATTCAGAATGCTATCGGTATTAGTTCCAGGGATGGAAGGGACTGTAAGCTGCTGAATTACAGGAGAGGAAAGTGTTGTATCAGGAAATGGTGAGGGTATAGTAAGATGATGACCTGAGGAGGTCTTTGGAGGTGTAATAGGAACAAAATGACCATCCTTAATACGGGAAGTGACATCATCTGAGGAACACAGTTCAGGTTGTACAACTGTTAATGGCAAGGCATGGGGGTTCTCTACTTGTGCTAAAAAGTGATCAGGAAAAGGTGGTGGAGTTGGGACAGGTGTGATTGAAGGTGAACAGCCGACAGTCAGTGATAACCATTCACTGGTCGCAGATTCTAAGTTCCCCTTACTAGAGTCTGTACAAGAGGTTGGCCTGAGAGTAAGGGGTGGAGTACGGAGTCTTTTATTGGATGCCAACTTTAGAAATAAAAACATAAGGTTAAGAAAAAAAAAGGAGTGTAACACAAAATGTTAACAGAAAAAAGAATCTAGTAGATAAAAAAGATGACAAAGTAAATAATTGTGCAGGTGCACATGCCAGAAACTATTAGTACATGAAACCAAAGGAGCTAGAGAGCTATTTGAAAAGGGTAACTTTATCAGCTGATGGACAGCGCTCTAAATGTCAAATGTTGAGAGATGCCTGAGTCATCCTATTCAAAGTAGTAGTATGAGTTTCATGATTGAGCTGTGGGCTTTTTCTACACACATTAAACTGCAGTCCTGGGAAAAGTCAGGTCAGTGTGTGTATCTTTACTCTGAAGATTGTATCAAATACCATCAGAGTTCTGTGCTGCTTTTCTTCATGACTTCAAACACCAGCTTAGCTGGTATACATCTAAAACAACCCATGTCAGTATAACAAGTAGGGGTCATTTATAAGCTCAGGGCAAGCTAATAGAACAATAGTTTGCAATTTTTTATTAAATATTTGACTTCAAAATATATCAAATCCCCTCAATGTTATAAATAATACAAGCTTCAGTAAATTGAATATGTACACCACAGATATTAACCTATTTTCAGCTACAAATCTCCCCCAATTAACTTGTCACTGAAAGCTAGATATGAAAATATAATTTTAAAAAAATTGAAAGTGAAGAAGAAAAGACTGTCTGGTCTAAAAACAACCAAGCAGACTATTTCTTACACTCTGGGGGAATGAAACATAAATGGCTGCTAAAAGGCAGCATAGACCATCTGACACTTCTTTCAGATACTTTCATAAGTGGAAGCCACTGAATACCCACAGCCAGCAGTTGAAGGGCTAAAGCATGTTTATACAAGGTGATATTTTATATCTTATTTTTATATATAGCACAATCAGAGCTTTGTTAATGTCTATTTTAGCTTTTAATAGGGATTAGTTTACCTCTACATTGTTCTTTAAAGCTTTCAAGATACCCGTGAACATGAACCTGTTGTTACTGTAAACAGACTAGTGCACTAATATAAATTAAATGCTGGCACCTACGGGTGGCAACACGTATCTGCAGATTTATTTCAGAGCACTGAGGGGGCCTCGAATTCTATGGTCAGTTATTATTTAAATATTCACTTTTGCTAGAAGTCAGCACTTTAGTCTGTACCGATAGGGAGACATGAAGGGCTAGGAGGAAGGTCTAACCTCATAATTGGTATGTGCATAACAGAGTGCCCTGAGTTTTTCTTATGGATTCCTTAGGAAGAAATCTGCAGATATAGGTAGCAACATCATATTTTAGAATATTACTAACTTATCTTAAAAATGACAACAAATGCTCCTTCAGAAATGTTTAGCAATGGCAAGCTACAAACAGATACTTATAGATAATTGCAGGCTTTTTATTCTTTGCATACCTTTTATTTCTTTTCCTTCCCATTCTTCTCATAGTGGCCAGACTAATCCATCTCCCTTTACTTCCAGGAAATCTGGCACATGTGACTAGGACATGTGACCATGCACATCATCTGAAGGGAAAAAATGCCTTGCCCTGAAATCTCAATATTTTGCAGTTTACAGATGAGATTTGCCATCTGTAACCTTCCCAGGATGCATCTATTGGGCATGGGCTACATCACTAATGCCTAAGGGGACCAGGAAGTGGAAAAACAATCATTGTAAGTATAAGCACACTATGTTTGTTTAATTAATTTAGATGATTTCATATCAGCATGCAGAGCTGCACACTGATGTGATTTTTAGTGAAAGGGGGTAAAGGTCCAATTCAAGACAGTTTGCAGTAGTAAAAGGAAGGGATATTCCGGCTGTAGGTGTATTCAGCCAAAACCTTGGAATTCAGGACACCATACTGTCCCATCTATCAAGTAATTATTACATAAGAGAGCTATCAGTAAAACGTTATAGCAATACAATTATAATTCAAAGATAATCACCATAATACTAGTTTTAAAATAGATTTATCCATAAAAGAGGTAAAAAAAAAACAGATTCTTCCCCAGGCTGCTCTGTTAGTTTGGCAGTGTTACACATATCCATATAGTAAAACATTTCATATAAGGCTACAATTTCATAGCAACCATTTACTAAGTTGTCCTATAGAGCATAGGCCAAATCAGGCAGCAGAGATTGTGGTGCAGGTAGAGTTTTAACCATTTACCTTCTAATGTACCATGACCTAGAGAGATGATTTCACACAGCCTATATTTTTAGAATTCTGACATCCAAGCTCCACCGAATAGCATCATAGTTTTTTTAGTCTTAACAGGCGAGTATTACACATGACACCACATACTTTTACATACTGCCCTACTATGTTCACAGCTTGCTAGGCTAAGGTGAACTGTGTGTACAGCAAAACAGAACTAAAATCTTTATTCCATTTCATTACTTCTTAACACGCTAGGCATAAAGGAGCACACAGATAATTGAATTAACCCAGAACTTCCATGATAGAGCAAATGAAAGTTGTGCTACTAAGTTAGATATTACTATATGGGCTTGTTCACACCAGCCCATGTTTTAAAATAGTCTAGTCTAGTCTAGTGTAGCGGAGAGGAATGGTACCAGGCATTGTTGCAAAGCAAGGCACTGTTAACCCATTTTTTCTTTTCAAAACTTTATTGAAATGTTACAAAATGACATTACCATAATTCTATGCACTGCAGCTGAGCTGCGGTGACCGGGGGTTACAGGAGGAAAAAGCACAGCATGTCTGCATTTTTGTGCAACCCACCTCACAAGAGTGCTATAGTGCAACCAGGGCGGCAAAAATACAACAATTGTTATATATGTGACCTGGCATTGAGCCTGCATTGATCAATGCAGCTCAAGTGAAGTGAATGAGTTCTTAAAGGAGAACTATGGGGTAAGTGTTTTTCCCCATAGTTCTCTTAAGGGTCACAGAAGGACATATGCTAGTGTCCTCTGGTGACCCGGTCATCGCTGGAGGGCCGGAGCGGGGAATCCCTGCGGGGAGCGGTGACTGACAGTCACGGCTCTCTGCAGGGAAATGATCGAGAAGTGAGCGAGCAACGGTATGCTTTTGCTCACTTCCCAATCTATTGAGCCGACGTGTGACAGTTTCATTGTCACACGTCGGCTCAAACTATGAGGATGAGTGATTTTCACTCACCTCATAGTTCTCCTTTAATGTGAAGGTTACCATAAATGGAAGACCATAGGCAATCAACTTGATGAGATCATAATGTCTAATAGATACCTTTAGATCAGGGCAAATTCCCCCAGCCAATACAGCTGATTGTTACTGCTTTCCTTGATAGGCTATAACCTGTCTTCACTCCACTGATAACTAAAACAATTGTTATTAAGCGGTGATCATTAACACTTTCCCTGCTTGTGCTGTTAGCCTGGAGGGGCCTTGAGAAGATCAAGCGCATGATCACGTTACAGGTTAATAAATATACTTACAGCAGCACACCTTATGATCAACTAAACATTGTACAGTTTTGTTTATTTCTTTTCTAGGCTTAATTTAATTTGTCGAGAAAAATATATATCAAAGCGCTAAAGGTGTAACTAATATGAAACTTAGTATAACCAAGTGATATAGTGAAATTTTAGGTTTAGGCGGTCTAGCCCTAAAACAAGTGATATGTCTTAAATAGAATCATAAAAGAAATATATATAAAATAAATTTATTTTATATATATTTCTTTTATGATTCTATGTAAGACATATCACATATTACAAAACCTAAAATTTCACTATATCACTTGGTTATACTAAGTTTCATATTAGTTACACCTTTAGCGCTTTGATATATATTTTTCTCGACTGTTGATAGGATTCTTCTATCCTCTTTTTAGAGCTGCTTTAGGTCTTAATTTATTATACATTTCCACTTTAGTCTCCTTTCCAGAAGCACGGATTATCTATTTCTCATCTTAATTTAATTTGTGTTTTACACATAACATTTTCTGACTCTATAAAGGACTGAGGTACATAAGCAGCCCCATGAGATAACCATCCATTGAAGTTTCTTCCTATATGTGTAACTGTGCTGATATTCTCTGCTGACATCTGTCTCATCTACTCTCTCAAACCAAACTCCGATTCACAGAACACATCACTACAATATTATCCATTTTCTTCCCTGACAGCATTTGAACACACATGTAACATCTCTCTTCCTTGATGCATAAAAATCATCTGTCATGTTTCCTACTCATACTCGGTATGACAGTTTTAGGGGCTGATGTTTGTAAGGAAAAGGGTTTCTTACCGTAGTTGTGGCAGAGTTGTGTAACCTGTCAGTGGAATGTCGATCAGGTGATTCACCAGGGCTTTTAGAAGAACTCTTCTTAACAATCTCCACATAGGAAACCGGGAAGATGCCCTGCCTATTTGTGCCTGGAATTTTACCCTCATACCAGTTCTGATCCACCTTTTTCAGAATCATCACTCTGTCACCCTGGAAATAGAGGACAAATGAATTCTTATCTACAATGGATAGCATTATTTATCATTTTTCTCACGACTACACCACCAACAGAGACCTAAAGTATAATGCATACAGCTATACATAGTGAGATAACTCTTAAACCAAACAGTGTACGCTGATGTTGCTTAAAGCTGAAGGTTCATCTGCTTATATTTTGCCTTCCCTGGTTCCTTCATTCTCCCCTCATCAACATGCCAGTGAACATTTTTAATAAAAGCTTGTTTTAGTTACAGCCCCTATTTTAGTAGTGTTATCTTTGCTTCTATATGCAATGCAGGCAGATCATGGCTGGTGAGACAAAACCGAATGGTGCTTTGCATAACTTCCTAAAAACATCACAGCACCCTCCTTCAGTACACCTCTCAAGAGCCACCAGCCCAGATGCAAGCAGTGGGCTGGCTCTTGGGAGGAGTTATGCAAAAATTAAAATGCCTTGATGGGTGGATGTCAGTCTGGAGGAGTGGGCGCTCCTAGGCAGGTAGCATTTGCATGCAGAGCACAATAGGTAACATTGATTGAAAGTACTGAAATCCAATGAATGAGAGGGGCAAACTAGGGACAGTAAAGGTGGGGAGGAAACGCTAGATGATGCTAGATGTCCTCCAGCCAGAAAATTAGGTGAGGTCTATCTGACTTGCTGCAGCTTCTAATGCACAATTAGAGATGATCACAGTGTGCCGTGAAATCAGAGTGAGCAATTTCAGTACAGGAGAGGAGCCTGTACAACTGTGCAAGAATGAAGGTAAAGCTGGAGTTCAGCTTTAACTGGTAATCTTCCAGTACCCTCCCTCTACAGGGCAGCCCTCCAGTGCACAAAGCAAAATCAGCATTCCCCCACATATTTTTGAGAGAAACAAAGTCCTTACCTAGTACAAGGCCGCAGTGTACACATTACTGCATATTAGTGCTAACACACTTGATCAGGAAAATCTAAAACAAAATCATATCCAACCCATTGGAGATGCTGGGTGACCACTGCAGTGAAATGACCAGTCTTTGCCCACCACTGGGAGTCACCATCACAGTATTTTCTAATCTTGCCATTTTTACATGTCCATTTATTCACATCCAAGAGACAATTACCTTTTTCAGTGTTAGCTCCACATTTGTGTCAGCAGTGAAATTATATTTGGCAATCGCTTCTCCAATCTCTCGTATTTGTGCTGGTGGTGGAGGTCTCACTGGTTGTGCTTTCTCGGTTGGACTTATTTTCTTTTATTAATAAATAGATAAGGAAAAAGTTATTAGAGCTTTTAGAAAAATTACTTTTTCACACCCTAGCAATCAGACAAAGAAGGTGCCATGCCTAGCTCTATCTGTACCCCTGATCTGTATTCTGACAAGTAGATCATAAGAGTAAGGGCCCATTCATACCAAAGCACTGTGCTATAAGCATGTTATTGTGCATTTAATGCATTTTATCGCACAAACCACCTAGCATGCGGTACCGTGCTCTAGGTGCGTGGTGTTGCTGTTCATTCAAATTAGGGATGCACCAATACTAGTATCGATATTGGTGCTGATGCCGAGTATTTGGGCTAGTTCTCGTACTAGTTCTCATACTCGCCCAAATGCTCCAATGCCAAGGCAGATACTTCCGATATCAGGAAGCCGGGCAGCTTGATTGGCCGGGAAGCCGCCCCCATGCTCTCTTGTCACTTGTGATGAGAGAGCATGGAGCCGGGCAGCGTGTAATGACGCGCTGCATGGCTCCCTGGTTGGTTGGAAGCTGGCCAATCAGGAAGCCAGGCACAGTGTAATACACAGCTCCCGGCTTCCTGTTTGGCCAGAAAGCCGGCTCCATGCTTTCTCGTCACCTAGTGATGAGAAGCATGGGGACGGCTTCCCTGCTAACCGGGAAGCCGGGCGCTGTGTAATGATGCAGCGCCCAGCTTCCTGATTGGCCCGGAAGCCGGCTCCATGCTTTACATGCTCGAGTCTTTACACGCTGCCTGGCTTCCCGGCTAATCAGGAAGCCAGGTGGCGAGTCATTACACACCGCCTGGCTTCCTGGATAGGACTTCCGGCACTCGGTATCGGCGAGTACTGGAAAAAAATATCGGTACTCGTACTCGATACCGAAATACCTGTATCGGTGCATCCCTAATTCAAATGGCACCCCAATGCACCTCCCGCAGCACAGTGCATCTCTCGGTACTGCAATACCTTGTGCTACGGTGAAAGAAAGTAGTGCTGGCATGGGAGGTGCATTGGGGTGCCATTCAAATGAATGGCAACACAGCGCACCTAGCAAATGCTATCGCAAGCAGGTGCATTGTGCAATAGCCTGCACTAAATGCACCTTGCGCAACATTCTGGTGTGAATAGGCCCCCTAAACTTTAGTAGACATCCAAGATAGCATTGGTCTCTGAATTGCTCAGTGATTACAATTGTTAACATGATCTGTGTTGCATGTGTGTATTGACCATAGCAACCAATCATGTACGTCATTGAATTTATTTATCCTCTTTTTTTTTTAATGACAGCCAAAACTTAATTGGTTGCACACTCTTGCGAATACTAATATGAGACTTGCTGATTTTAGGTGCTAAATGGCGGAGATCTTTAATTTTTAAAAGGGTTCCAAACCAAATATTTTATAGACCTTATTTGATATGATAGCTAAAATACATTGAAAGATCTACTAACCTCAATATAGGAAATTGGAAATATTCCAACTCGTCCATGATGCTCCCCTTCATACCAATTCTTGTCTATTTTCCTGAGGATGTACACAGTGTCTCCTTTCTTAAAAGACAGCTCTCTGTAAAGCAGAGACTTCCATCACATTGTATTCACATACATTATGCTGAGTAATATTCACAATCTCTGTGTTACACTGTACATTAAAGCTACAACAACTGTATACTTGGAACTGATATAGTGAATTGCTGTTGCAGTTAATAAATCCTGGTTTTGGTGTCATGTATGGAGTTGTGCTTTCCAGTCTATCTTCATGGCTACATGAAACAGACAAAGGCAACATGGCAAACAGCTTTGATACTCACTCTTTGGCACAATATTTTGTATTAGTTTGATGTGACCTTTATGACTCTTGTTTGTGACAATATGTACAGTATAGAGACCGTGACACACTGCATGCGAAGCTGTGCAGAGCAAAGCAAAGCTGTCAGGCATGGAGGCTCGCATGCAGTGTGTGTGCAGAGTGCGGCCAGATGAATGACGGCATCTTCAGCCAATCGGCTTGTGCGTAACAACCGAATGGACTTCGCATTGTGACGTGCGGGTTTATACGCACAAGCCGATTGGCTGAAGATGAAATTTTTCGTCTCAGCACGCTCAACTTTGTGAGCTCTCGCAAGCTGACGTACCGGAGTGACAAAAACATGACGCTGCTTCGCGTGCAAGTGTGTCACAGCCTTTATTGAGGACATGTGTACATTATGCTTCTTCCAATACTGTTAAATTGTTTTGCTAAAAAAACTTTTTTCAGTAATAAAAACAAAAATAAATACCAAAAACACATCAGTAAGTTTGTGACATTTTATTAAGGAGTGCGGAAGCTGCTACTGCTAACCTTTTCTTCTCAAAATGCAAGGTACCTGGCTGTTATGATAATTCAATGTCAGTACTTTGATTAACTGAATTAGAACAAGTATGCAAAGTTGTAGTTATGACTTCGTTTGTTCAAAACCAATGGTTCAGTTTCCTTAAAGTGTATCTAAACCCAAAACCAGGGATGGTCAGATACCAAGTACAAGTACAGATATTTTTCCAGCTCAAGGACTAGACTGGAGAAAAATTCAAAAGTTAGGAGGCAGCTGTCATGTTTAAGGAGCATACGGAGCTTGTGGGATTTGTACATCCCTATTTTAATGCATTATTTTTTTTTTAATAAATATATATTAGGGATGCACCGATACCATTTTTCCAAGTACAAGTACTGATACTTGTCCAAGTACTCACAGATACAAGTACTAATACATTTTTGTTTATTGTCATGTGACAGTTTTTTTAAAAACAATACAGACTAATGATTTCAGGACAGTGGTGCAGCGCCAGAGCCAGGTCCCAGCTGCAACCCTGGTAGTTCTCGTGAAAATGCCAAGTATCGGCACTGGTATCTGAACTGGTATCTGATATCTGGACATCCCTACCCAAAACCAAATATTTAATATACTGCGGCATACCAGTCCTTAGATAGGGTGCCTATATTTTCTTTTTTGTATTTTCCACTTTATTGTCTCCTGGTAATCCTGCAAATAACACACTTCTAAGTGGCTACTCCTCCATTGTATCTATGCAAGGAGCCATGGTGGCCACCAATGCTGGACTTTGAACAAGTCTGTATCTGTTCATATGCATTGCATAGGGAGTAATGACACGAGAATGATAAAATGGTTTTGCTTGCCGTTTATACCCCGGGAAGTGATGAGGACGCTGCATTTCTGGCCAGATCAACAGGCATTTTCTGTGCTTGCTAAAAAGTTCTTAGCCTGAAATATCCAAACTACTCCAGCCACCACATCTAAGGACTGGTAAGCTTTAGCAATAAGGCAATATTTATTTTTTGGAACATTTGCCGCAGGTTCTATTTGAGCATGTGAACATATAGTAGAATATAGAGAGTTGTAGTATACATCTGGTTGAATATAAGGTAAGGATAATAGAACAGAACAGATATTAAGCTGTGGTATATAGCTGTGGACCATACCAACTGGTGTAATCTATACAGAAGCACAGCACTTACTTTGCTGTCTGAGCCTTGAAATCATACACAGCTCTTGCAGCCTGCACAAAAAAAAAGTGACAAAAAGGTTAGTACAGGCTGATGGTTTGAATAGCAAGTTTCAGTTCTATATGTATAAATCCTATGAATTTATGTTCATTTTACAAAGAACATACATTTATACATGTTCTATAAGAAAAGATAACCAGTAAAAATGTGGCAAGATGTAGCTTTTTGATTTTGTTTTATAGACTAACATGGTTATTCACAAAAGGGTGAGGCGTTTGGAGAAGGCAAGAGAAGTGAACAATCTAAGACAACATAACTGATTTGGAATAATTGTCCAATTCATCTCACTTTCCAGTTCAGCGATGTTGTCCTAGATTGTTGACTTCTCCTGCCTTCTCCTAACTCTTCACCCTTTTGTGAATAACCCTGTAACTAAGCAGAGTATTTGTGCAGATACTCCAACCGATGGTCATATGAAGCATTAAAACATTCCCAGTACATCAGTACACCAAGGCTAGGATGTAATCTCAGAGAATGTGACCTTTATTTGTCTTGTCAATTCACTTGCTTATGAATCTGCACAGATATAGAAAGTCACAGTAGACTTTAATATATGTAGACTTTTCAGCATAGTCTCTTCTCAAGTACAGAATGTCCCACACCGAAATGTCTCAAATATTTGCTAACATTACTTCATTACATTGCTTCACATTAGTTGAATGATGCTGACACAGTAACATTTCAGCAGGTTTAGGCAATGGCCCACAGCCAATTCATAGTCTGATACTCTTGCCCTGTGCTTTTGTTTTGCTAAGAACAAGGGGGAAACAAGAAGGAGATGAGCCACCAAACAAACGAGGATTGTAGCTCAGAGAGGACCTAAAAATTGGTTGGAAGACACCATCTATGCGTTTTGTGGCTCATTTCCTCAGTAAGGTGTAAGTAGACACTTAGGGATTGTGGAGTGGCAGCAGGTCCCGATGTGTGTCACCACATGAGGGAGAAGCAAGTCATGGATGCAGTTTAAAGCTGTGCTGCATTTAAAACAGGCCTGTGCAGAGATAGGGGTTCTGTTTTTACTGATGTCTGGTTAAGCTGGAAGCAGAGAATGTTTGTGGCTCTCCGCGTGCAGGTTAGCCCAGAGAATCCATATTTCCATAGTGAATTTCTCATTTAAAATGTCATCATGGTCTGAAGTCTGTTTGCCATGTTGTTCTCATGGTGTGATAACATTATACCTGTGCTTGAGCAAAGTGAAGTGCAGCAACCTGACATAGCTGGCTGGTAACATAGATGGACTGGTCAATATAACTATTTTGAGTCTATCTTTCTTATAGCTCAATAATTGTCAGAACTCTGTGGTGGTTTCCACATCCAAGTATAGCTAGTGTGTTACCTCCTTTTCCTGCGCTCCCCTCCTTGCTGAACTCCTGCTCACATCAGTGAAAGCTGAGGAATAATTCCGGGGAGATTCTTGGTCTGCTAGAAAACAACAAATTCATGAAAATTAACTTAGATTTTTTTTTGCATTAGGCTTAATTTGATGGTAGTGTAACTTTTTAAAATAATGAGTTCGTCTTGTACTATACTACAGATGTCTCCCTAGCTAATGATCTATTTTAAGCAAGTGACATAACGGCAGACCCTTCCGATACAAAATAGGTATGCTGATCCTACCCTTGCTGCAGAGACATTCAATACATTCCTAAGGAATGACTTAATTGCAGACTTCCCTGGAAGAGAAGCATCCGGTGACAAGCACAGGGTGACAAAATGTTAATTTGTAAAAGTTGATTCACATGTATTTAAAGGTGGTATTTATGCCAAGCAAAGCTGCAAAGATGAGAAGTTAGACATTGTACACACTACAGAGGAGCCATGCTTTACTCACATGCATGAAATGACTGCATGCAATACAATGAGTGCTTTTAAGGGATATAACATCATTAAAGAACATTGTGTTGAGCTGCCATACATACTATATTTTATCTGTTCATTCTAAGGTAAATCGATATCTCTTTTGATGTTACCTAATCTTTACTGCCTTGGAGAACACACTACTGTATTTAGTATGTACTCTTTGGCCTAGCTGTAAATCAAACCCATGATATTGAGACTAAGTCCCACATAATAACTGAATCAAAATATGAAAAAGAATATTTTTGTTGCTGCGTAAGGTTATACTTCTTACGTATTGCCTTTTGCACTTTATGTTGCATTTAAAAATAATTTATAAACAAGAAGTTTATCCAGAGCACCAGATTCACTTTACAGCTTAATTTAAACTCAGATACGTTGAAATGATTTCATATAGTGCTCAGTTCTGCTACTGTCCTGCAAAACATCAATGTAAATATGTTGTATAGAACTGGATAAAATGAGTTGCGGCCAGTGAAGCTTGTTTTGGAGCAGAGATGAAGAGGAAAGCAGTAAAAAAAAAAAAAGGTACACTAGCACAATTACTGAGCAACAAATAAGAAACTGTAAACATTGTGGAACTAATGAAGCTCAGTCTGGCGTAAAATGCCAAAAACATGCTCAGACTGCATCTTCCTACTTCATCTTTACTTCGCAAAATGGAATGGCTGTGGAAGTTCTACTTTGCAAATTTCCACATTTTCAGACATTATGAGATGGCTCACGATGAATATATATAAATGAAGGTAATATTACTGAGGCACCTTGAAAACAGTATGGGCTATCTGGAGAGTTGTTGTTGTTGGTTGCATCCACATCCTGGTAAGAGGCACTGATGGGCAATCTTTCACAATCATTCTGGTAAGGTGGGCAATGAATAGCACCATCTTGAGGCAGTTGGCAGTATGATGGATTTGGAGTACTAAATGGGAATGTTTTTAAAGAAGAATTTCTTTCTGGAACATCTGGAAGAAGCTCACTAATAAGTCGGTGGAGAATACTATTATCAGGCAAGCTCCCACGTCTTTTCTCTGCTTTTATTTGGTCACAGATATCCTGAAGTGCAGAGTCCAGAGCTTCAAACACAGACGCTTTACATCGGCCCTTTTCAGATTGCCTCTTGGGTGTAGAGGTTTTTTTCCTACGAAAAGGCACTGGACTAACAAGAAACGCAATTTTGGAAAGGCTTGAATCTGTTTCCTGCTTTCCCGAGGATTCACTTTTCTCCTGCTTAGCCCTCTCGTGTTTTAACATGGTGGTGAAACGTGTGTATGAAGCTGGGCATCGTCCTTTGCAAGAGCTGATAAGGTGTCTGTGGTGATGGTGATGATGATGGTGGTGGTGATGGTGATGGCCAGACCCATAGAAGCTCTCAGAGGATGTAAAGGAATAGTGGTCAAAATCACTCTCACTGCAAAAAGACGATCCTTCAATCTGTATAAAGTCACTTAAGTCTGAAACAACTGCATCAGGATCACTGTCTGATAATTCAGCATGTGTCCGTGGAATCTGGTCACTTGTCACCTCAATGTGAACAGGAACCAAAGACTTTGACTTTCCGTTGTGCTGTACCTGAGGTATATGTCTATTCGGAGTGTCTTCATCCAGCAAAGATTCAATGGAAAACCTACGTTTAGGACATGAACTACTGTTGGAAATATCTAAGCTCACTGCAGACAGCATCTCATCTGCAAGGTTTGGCATAGATTTGGATTTCTGGATAAGTTGTTCAAATTCTGATATTCTGGTAGGAACCATATCTCTTGGCACTTCTTCTGATAGAGTTTTCCAGCTGGCAAATATACCTTTTTGCTGTTCCTGCTCATACTGCATTATTCGAGATTTAACAGAGCAAATGACTTCAGAAGACATTAAGTCTTTGCGGTTTATGCGGTGCATTTTCTTGTATAGTTTTAGGAAACCTGGGGTGTCATGAGCAGACCTGTGGCGAACCCTGGATTTGTTAGCACAGCCTTCAGAAGAGAACGTACTGTCCCAAGCTAAGGGACTATTCTGCTTTGACTTATCATCACATAACAAAGATCCCATGCTTTCAGATTTGATCTGAGTATTAGAGAAAGTGATGTGATCTTCTGTCAGTAAGTCATCACAACTCCTAGACTTTATTTTTGGTGATGCTGTTTCCTCTGTGCTGCTCCACACCTCTGCATTCTGCCGTGTCATTTGCCAGCCATTCTTAAAGCTGATTGAGCGCTTTGTGTCATCAGGCACAGCTAAATGGTGAGTGTAGCCACTACAGTAATCTAGCGATTTTGAGGTGTTTGCATTGCGAACAGAGTAAGCGAAGAGGGGGGGATACATTCTGCTAATATCCCCACCTTCAGAATCCAAAGAGCAGCATGGTAAGAAAGAGATATTTCCAGAAATTAACAGACGGACAGCAAAAGTTAAAGTATTAGTAACAAAGTGAAACAGAAAAAGTAAAGAAGTATCAAAACTGGCTCAACTCTAGTGTATAACAGACACCCAATAAGCTTCTAAACCATTCTACACTCAGGTGATGCTGGTTGTAAAAGAAACATTTTATTCCCTGCAATGTTTCTCTTAACATCAGAAATAGGCAGATACACTTTTGTTTAAAATACTTCTAGCAGTTGCATAAGTTGTATTAGGAAAAGTCAGGTTGCCACTTGTTCCTTCCCAGATAAAGAATATTACTAGATCCTACTGCATGAGGGAACACATGGCATGCATGCTTTCTCTAAAACATCTTCAGTGACAATACAAGAGCTAGGAGCGCTATAACACACAAACACAAAATCATTTCCAGTTCAGCATTATCTATTCAGTCTACTGTATATAAAAACATATACTATAAGCTGTGTATTTTATTGTAATCATGTAAAATTCAAAGAAAGTGTTTGATTTAAATGTGTTTGTATAACTGCACCACAAGATGGCACTGTTGTATTCCTTTTCTACATTGACCGAAAACTATTGCAGGTTACCATTGTGGTATAATGTGACACTGGAAGGATAACATCTTTCATACCTTTTGATCGTGAGGGAGATGGAGGTGAAGAGTTAATAAATGGTTTCCTCAGAGTGTTTGTGCCTTGAACCCCTGTCCGGCTTAGGCTGTGTCTGTTTGCATTCTGGTCACTGTGAGCTCTCTGATGGCCTACACTGGGCTCAGACTTCCGTCTCTTCCTGTAGTCACTTGCAGAGCTTCAAGCAAACAAGAAATAACAACATTTACCTTTCTAATTGCGGTCTCATTGCAGCGTTTTTCTGGCAGCATCTGTAAGCTGAACGCATGTTTGCTGTGTGTTTGGTTTCCCTTTCACTACTTTAGTTACATGCATTGTGAAGCTTGGCCTGCGTCCAAGGCTCACTCCCAAAAATCAATATGAAGCGGAGGAACAATCAGAGCGTGACAATGCAGCTTCCTAGCGCAGACTTCTTGCTGTGCAGATTATTTCATTATATTAATTGTACAACAATGTAAGGGTTATGCCTAGAATGAATTCAACTCACAACTGCCTCTGAATTATCCCATGTGCTTCTGTTTGCCTCTTCACTAATAGATAGAAATTCTGCATATTTTACTGCAAACAAAAGTTACTTATTTTCTGACCAATTTTAGCATTAGAAATATAGATATACTAGGCCAGGGGTAGGCAACCTTAGCACTCCAGCTGTTGTGGGACTACAATTCTCATGAGGCATTGACAGACTCTGACAGTCACAGGCATGGCAGGAATTGTAGGTTCATCACAGCTGGAGTGCCGAGGTTGTCTACCCCTGTATTAGGCCTTGTTCACACATGCGGCAAAACAAAGCCGTAGATTTGCATTTTGAAAAAGTTTCCCAACCGCCTGCTAATGCCCCTGAGAGATTTTCAATGGTCAGCGGACAGTGCAGTACACATGTGAGGTTGTGGCAAATTGCAGTCCCAGCACATTACAGGAGGATTTGTTTCAGAGATTACAAGGTGCTGGGATAAAGCCAGTGGAGGTTCCTAAAATCTCAGCAATGAGAAATGTTAGAGGAGAGGATAGCACAGGTCCAGTAGCCACTTCCATTCTGTACCCAGTGCCAGCCAGTCCACCTGCATCACTTTCCGTTTACAAAAATTGAAATTATGTAATTGTTCATAAGACATAAATCTGGTTTTGTTTGTCACATGATGCATTTTGTATTATTGTTTGGTCATTCCCTGGCTCTCTGTTTTGTTGGAAATGAATAAACCTCTATTATTTAAAAATAAAATTAATTAAACACAGAGAGTGCTTTTGGCAATTGTTTATTAACATGTCTTAAATGTGTCAATAACACATTAAAAATGCGTCTGAAAGAAGAACTCTGGAGAACACTCAAAATCATTTTTGGAGTTTTGCGTGGAATGCGTCAGATTTGGCTTTTTTGTTCTCCACTTTTTTGTGTCACACCAATACAAACAAAAGAAATAAACATAAAAATGCCTAAACATTTGTAATTGCAACAATTTTCTGCGCAAAGTGGTGCATTATCTGACAGAAATGCAGGGGTGTCAATGTTTTTTGCCCTGACTGTAACTAAACTAATTGTATAGGAGGGTTCACTTGTTGCTAAACTTTGTGGAAATGGTGATATCAGTATTGGGTTTGTTAAATCAGGTCTTCATTCATCCAATCAATAAAATCTCATAAAAGCTTTAGTGTCATTTTTAAAAGTTTTTTTTATCTTTTTTTGTTATTTAAATATGACCTGCTGTGATCCTGCCATGGAGGTCTTTGTTTAGGCATTTCTTTTTATGGGGTGACAACTGTGTGACAATTTTGCTCTTGTGTTGTCATCCTGTCACTTGTGACCTTATTGAGACTACAAATGGCCATGCTATGGTCTACTGTTGTTACTATTGGGAAGTTGGCACGGAGCAATGATGTGCAGCCGACACTGGAGCGAGTGCATGTAGAAGTGGATGAAAAAGGGTGAAAGTGGTTGGCAGTACTGAACTGCAAAGAAGGATAAAAAAAAAAAGTTGAAAAGAAACAGTATTTCATGAAAAAAGGACATTGTATAGGATGCCCGGTGCTATTACAAACTGACTGTAGACCAATTTGTGTTTAGATCTACTTTAGGCTTTAAGTTGCCTAAAACTTTTTTTGCCACTTCGGCCCACTGCTTGAACATAATTCCCATGAAAACAGGTAATATGCTCACCTTGAAGGTCTTTCCATGCCTTTGTCTATAGAGGATTGGTATAAGGATGTCTACAAAATAAAAAGAAATATTATTAACCTTTTCATTTTTTTGCACACATGGTAGAATGCACATTTTAGGTTAGGAAGTTTCTTATCCCCCCCTCCCTCCCTTCCAGAATATATCTTTTCTTAAAGCAGAGACCCTAGTGAATAAAATAATAGTAATTGTCATTTTTTATGTCACACGATAATATATGTGCATTCAAATTAATTTAAGTTCCCACACACAAAATATACCACCTCATTTTTGGTATGATATGAAAGATACGTTTGAGTTAAATAACTAAATGCCAAACATGTCACGCCTCAAAATTGCACGCACCCATGAAAAGGCGAAAAACTTTGGTACCCAAAACTGTCCATAGGTGTTGCTTTAAAAGCCTTTCCAGGTCATTCATTTAGCGTGAACCATGAACGGCCCTACAATCATCGCTTTTACTGTGGCGTGTGCGGCAATTGTTTTCATGCTTTGGCACACCTGACGCATGTGTTTACATTCCAGTGGGTGTGGAAGTGATCGGGCGGCTTCCACCAGAAAGCCAGGAATGCGTGTGTTGCCCCCAATATACAGTATGTCATGTGTTGGTGGCAGCAGAAAGGTTAAACAAGGATACAGAGAATGCGGGCTGCTGTATCTTTCAGAAATGTTTGCAAGCTTCTATGTATTAAGGAGATGAAAAAAAACATTGACAACAATATTCATTAAATCATTCTTGTATTTAAGTGCAGTAACCTATGGTACAAGATGGATTTTGATTGGTTGTTCTTGTTTACTTTGCTGAAGCATTGGCATTTAAATAGACATACTGTACATTTTAAAGACCCTGCAAGAAAAAAAACCCTGCTTATTCTGGCAGGAATGCAGCTCCAAATTCCCTGTGGTTGGCTAACAACACTGTGCATTTTGTGGACTGAAATAACAAAGAAAGGTGTCAGCCCTGCACAGTTTCTATTGCTGAACTACAAAACACCCACCCCTCTCCTCATCTCCACTACATAGTGGGAGGTGCTGTGTAGTTCAAGGAAGTGAGTTAGGCAGAGCTGATTAGACTGCTTGAGAGAAGACCGAACAGGACAAATCTGTATTTCTGGCAGGATCAACAGGCATTGTTTATTTACACTTATCGAACAGATATAAAAAACCTTTTCAATAGTATATTTAACAGACCAAAGGGAAACAAATGAGAGAAGTATATTGTTGGGGTTTCTATGCATACTTTCACAGAGGTTAAAGAACTCCGGGCAAATAAAATCTCAACACATGCAGTGGTGCCAAGGCTGGCTCTTACACAGCTCCCTTCAGCCTGTCTCCTCCTCCACTCCAGCAATGGAATGTGTCTGGGCATCCTCCCACTCTGTACACTTTATAGGATGTGATGACTCAAAGGACCTTAGACTGCTGGAGCGGAGGAGGAGTCAGGCTGAAGGGACCAGTCCAGCAGCCAGCTGGGATTGCGGTTCGGGTGAGTATAGTCTTTATTTTAGCTCCCTAGACACAAACGCGCACTTAACCCTTGCAGTGCAGGAGTAGCCCCACTGCGCAGGTTAAGATTTGATTTGCTTGGCGTTCTTAAGTATATATTTGTTCCCTTTATTAGAACTGTAAAATTTGTTCTCCAGCACAATGCCAAACACAAATGAAAAATTGCGGAGTAACACATTTTGACATGACACAACAACAAACAAAATAAACAATGATTGTGCTTGAATGGTTATAAAGATGAAAGGAAATCAGTTAAATATTTACAGAGGAAGGTGTAATCAGGTCATCTCAGGGTTTT